CCTGAAGGTTGCAATAAGTTGGAAACAACTTGAAGGCACACAACAACAACAAGAGTTGTGTGGGTTAGGGTTTTTGTCCCCACTGCTTCATCAGTGGATGAGAAGCTTTTTGCAAGGAAGGAAAGAAGCCACCACCATCAAGGGTGACCAGGGGTCCTCGCCGCAAAGGAGGACAAAGCCCACAAAATGGAGAGCATGCAAGAAAATGGGAGGATGTGACCAAAGAAAAGCTGAAAGCACTCCTAGAAATGTAATGCATGCTTCTTAGTCTTGCTCAAAATGGAGGACACTTTGAATCCCTCCTGGGCAGAAAATAAAAGCTAAAAACACTTATATAAATAAAGTGTATGCATGCAAATGCATGCTTCTTGGTGATGTGCAAAATGGAGGACATTTTGGGATTCTTCCTGGGCAAAAAATAAAAGCTAAAAAACACTCATAGAAATATAAATGCATGCTTCTTAGTGATGTGCAAAATGGAGGACATTTTGGGATTCTTCCTGGGCAGAAAATAAAAGCCAAAGACAGTCCTAGGAACGGAAATGCATGCTTCTTAGTGATGCTCAGAGTGGAGGACCTACCGGACTCCCTCCCGGGCAGAAAACAAAAGCTCAAACACCCCTAGAAATACAAATGCATGCTTCTTCTAGTCCTGCTGAGAATGAAGATCACTTGGGAATCCCTCCTGGACAGAAATGAAAAGCCAAAGACAGTCATGGAAATACTGGATGCAGCATGCTTCTTAGTGATGCTCAGAGTGGAGGACCTTTTGGAATCCCTCCTGGACAGGAGGCTGGAGAATGGAGGACGAGTCCTGGGAAAGGAGGACGCGCCTGGCCACCCTGCCCACCTCCCAGGGCGCCAAATGCAAAGGGTTACTTTTACTTATGCAAAGGGTTACTTAACTTACTTACTTACTTACTTACTTACTTACCCTGGCTGTTCTCCTTTGGAGGATCGGATCTGGGGATCCCGGGATCCAGGAGGAGGAGATCTGGGGAGGCAAAGAGGGATCCTCTCCTCCATGCCCTCTGCTGCAGCCCCTGGTGCCCCTACTAAAAGAGATGCCCAGGGAAGAAGGATCCTGCGCCTGCCTCTTCTCGCCTTCTTCTTCTCTTCCTTCCTCTTTGCGCATCTCAGCTCTCTCTTCCTCCCCCAGGGCCCTTTTTGATAGCTTTGATGGAGCCCCCCC